TTTGTGTGTATCCTCTCCTCCCTCCACCTCCCTTCCATCCAGATGACCTGAATGTGGGCGGGATCATCGGAGGCGTTCTGGTGGTCCTGGCTGTGCTGGCCCTGATCACCGTGGGCATCTGCTGTGCGTACCGACGCGGCTACTTCATCCACAAGCAGGAGGAGGAGAGGTGAGCCTGCCCTTGGGGAAGGAATAAGGTACAGGCGGGCATTACCGTGATGCCCAGCAGTCGCTCAACTGCCCTCCTCTGTTTCAGTTTCAAGAGTCCGGGGAGGCCCGACGGAGTTAACTACATCAGGACAGATGAGGAGGTATGGAACGAGGGGGCGGTCACTGGGGAAACCCAGGACTTGAGAGGTCCCCAGCAGGGAAGCCCCCGCGCCAGGGCCTGCTCAGCACCTCAACTTTCCCTGGGACTCGCTCACACAGCGACCCCCACCCCCGCGCTGTGTCGGGAAGGAAGATGGAGAAAACTGCAGCTACTGGACATGCTTTTCACTTGCAGTGTGGACCAGCTCAGGTGTGCGAAAGCGATGCAAGGAGAGAGGTCCCCACCCTCCGCCCGGCTTCCCCGAGGGGCTCACAGCACCAGTTCAATGACAGCCGCAGGAGTTAGCGGGGCCGCCTGACCTACAGGCCGGACCTAAAAGTTGCCCGTTTCCTCCCTCATGTCCCTTTTTTCTGCTCCGGATCCGGCTTTCCCGTTAGTTGTGATGACTCCTCCATTATTATAGGGTTTTTTTTTTTAAAGCCTGGTGCTTGCAGTGTTTCGATGCCGTGTTTTATGGAATGCCCCGCAACCCATCAGTGGACAAGGCTGCCGCTGTCATGGACCTGACGGTCTAGTGGGGCGGGAACCACATGGCAGGACAGGGTGTGGCGGGCCGGCTCCGCCATGGCACACTCAGCCCCAGGTGAAGGACGGAGGACAGACAGACAAGAGAAGAAAGCTGGGTCTCGGTGGGACGCTGCTCCCGATGGAGAGACAGCGCCACGGGCTACAGGCCCTGTCTTTATTTTAAGCAGATGCCACGGGGCAAAGTCAGGGCGTCGTCAAGATGTTTACAACGTTCTCCTGGGTTCCGACCCTACTCAGTTACATGCACCTGAACTCTATCAAGCCCACATCACTCAGGCACGTGGGGCCACGCGTTTGGACCACAGGGTCAAGCTCACAACCACAGCTGTTGGCTGTCATTGTGCTGGGAGGGCCCTGCCCTCCAAGCTGGGACTTGCACGTGGCAATGAGAGGACTGTGCCCGCTCCTCGGGCCGAGCTTGAACCTGTCCCAAGGCTGTAGCCGCTCTCCACAACAGGGGCGTGGACGGGGAGCGGAAAGTCCTTCCGAGGGTCAGAGGAGGCCCTGCGCTTGAACCCAGCTTTGCACTGTGAGGGGGCAGCTGCACCGGGTCGGGGGTGGGGGCGGGAAGGGCAGGACGCCAGGCAGGAGAAGCAACACTTGCAAAGACCCTGTGGCTGGGATGCCGGTGGGATGTCGGAGGACCAGCTCCTGGAACTTGTCGAGCTTCTCGGTCCCGAGGAGCTGGGGGGTCAGCGGGGTCAGGCGAGAGGGGGCCAGGACGCAGCCCCTGGTTTCCGACGGCAGCATCAAATCACCTGGCTTACGTTCTCAAAAGCTGCTGTGCGAGGAATGGCGTCGAAGGGATGGAGAGGAAAGCAGGAGGTCGGTGAGGAGGTGGGGTGTGAGCTGAGGGAGACCCGAGGGAGGAGAAGGGGCCAGCTGTGCCAGACGTGGGCGG